AATCCCAGCAGGTATCCCCAACAGCAGCTGAACTCGCAAAAACAAGCTCCCGCTCCGAATTCAATAGCACCTAGAGCTAGAGCTTGTAACAGGCATGCGCTGACTCCTTGAGCCCGCGCTCTGTCGGAGTGTTTTCATGGACTGGCTACGATGCCGTGCGTCGGTGGTGTTCGTGCATGTGTGCCCCTAGGCTCGGCATGTGAACCGCTTGCGCTGGGGGTCTAGGAGTGCGGAGGCTTTGGGTGCGTCCCAAGACTGGGGCTGGACTGTGGGTGGGCCGAAGACAGACGCAAACACAGATGCATTGGCCCGCCACGTGGTCACCAGATATCCTTTTGGGACCTTACTCCTAACAACCTGAAATTTGTTCGGTCGTTTGATGTGCGCGTGTGAAGATTTGAATTGGTGATGAAAGGATGGATGTAATGATTGATATTTTTATGATGGCTGGGGAATTACTTTTCAATGAGAAAATTAATGCGATAATGAATATAGCACGCATTGCCGATTTCTATCAAGAAGAAAATCTCTAAGATCGTGCCAATGTATTGAATTATTTGTCTTAAATATTCTTGTCATTTCTAGCGCATGTTACGATATATTTTTAAATCATTGTTTTCCCAAGAGCATGAATTTTGGGGTCTTCAGCCCTGTTTAGCTTCGGAGTAGATCGGAGCTGGGCCCGGGGCAGGGGTCTAGAGCGGGTTCCGCGAGGGAGGGGGGTTCTAGGGCGGGTTCGTGGTTCACAGGTTTTAGAGTGGTTCCGGAGCGGGCTCCGGAGCGGGGCGAGGGAGACAAGGAGACCAGGGCACCGCCGTTTGCGTGAGATGCAAAGCATGGCGATCCTGGAACCCGGCCATGGTCACCCGCATGAAGGGAGACAAAGAAACAAGGAACCAGGAACCCGGCAATGGCAATCTGCAGCGCAGGCGGCAAAGGACCACGCCAAAGCAAACGTGTCCGAGCGCAGGCCGGCAGCATCCTCGGCAGGGACGCGGGCAACGCCGGCCGCCCACAGTATTGTGGAATATTGCAGGGTGCGCACAAGCCCTTGCGCTGCCCGAGACAGCGCCTTTCTCAAGTCCCACTCCAAGCCTTCCCTGACAAAACGGTACGCAGCTTTGCGGAGCTCGGCCCAGGACCATGTTCCACGCGGGGCCCGCGGGGGCATGTCCCTCTGATAAGCGAAGGCCGGGCACGACCAAGGACGCGGTCGCTGAGCTCCCCGACACCTTCCCTGGTCATGTGCTTCGACTTGACCGTCTCCCACACAAAGCCTAGGCGCCGGCGGCGCATACTCAGCTCCTCGGGTGTTGCCGGCGGTGTAGCGCTCGCCCGGCCGGGCGTGAAACGCAAGGTGTTGGTGGACGGATCAATGAGCGCACTGCACGCTTCCGTCTCTCCATCGTCCAAACTGGTCACATCGCGAAGGTCCTCAGCCTTTGGAATGTTGTCTTCCACTTGTTCCAGCCACTGGGCGAGGAGGTCCTTGCTCGGAAGTTTTTTGTCCTTTAGCACTCGCCGTGAATTTTCTCAATTCCTGCCCGCATGGCAGCATGCACCTTCACAGGCACCATTGGACCATACGCAACTGGGACCCAGACTTCGCCTCCATCTTGTTCTTCTCTTGAACAGTGAGCTGGCGACGCCAAGATCCCAAACGGACAGAAATGCACTTAGAGGGACCAGGTCCTGGTCAGGCAGCCTTGAACCAGAAAGTTTTGGCGCCTCGAGCGTTGCGATGCCTCAGGAGAACCACCGACAGGTCCAATTTCGGGTCACACTCTCGCTGGCATCCTTTGCTCGGATCCAGCTCAGTTGCCCTTGGCGACTGGCAAGACCCAAAGAACCAGCAGCTTTGCAGACTTGCTCAAGATAAGCCTTGTTGTCTTCATCCTTCTTGCGAGCTAGCCATTCAACCTTGGTCGAAGGAACTTGCGGGGTTCGGGTGGAATTTGTAGCAGTAAGGAAAACGCCGCTGGTGGCCGGCACACAGTGATTGAAGTTAAATTAAAGAAACACGTAGGCCCCGCCCAACGTACTGTCCAACCGAGCTGTTTCCTCGACTCGGAGCTTATGCTCCTTGAAGGCACTTGCGACCATGGTCCCTATGCGACTATCTACCCACTACTGCAAGTACAACAGCTACCACGAGGGCAACTGTGTAATCTTAATCTACTTTCCACGGATGTCTCAGCGCATTTAATGCATGACTTACTGATTGGAATCCTAAAAACAAATCCCTTCATCCCTGATCTTCCAAAACCCCTTAATTAAGGAATATACCCTAATTCATAATAAGGACCCTTAGTATAAATTAGGGTATATTCCTCAATTAAGGGGTTTTGGAAGATCTGGGATCTCATCTGTTCTTGGAGGCATATTTTGCTAACTCAAGAGATGCTCCTTGGACTCCAAGTGTGACGGTGGACACTCCTTCCGGCACAGGAGGCATTGGCACGTTTTCTCATCGACATAGCGTTTGTTTCCAACACATACTGTTCCGGGTCAACGCGACCGCCAGCATCATCGTGAACCTGTCCATCGTCCCTTGGAAGGTGTACATGTGGTTGTTTTGTCTCTGGACTTCTTGCGTGTAATTTGTGAGATTTAAATTTCAAAATGCCAAAAAAATCTTTAAACTGAACAGCATCGCAGATGCTTGGAAGGAACCTTCGCCGAACCCATTAACCCCGTTAGAACCGTCGTAGGATCTTTCGGATCTTTATCGGAACCTTTCGGAATCTTTCGTTGGAATCCCTGAGCATCCCTGAGCCAGAGCCAGGAGGCCACGTCGACGAGGCGCAGGGGAAGCGGAGGCCGGCGCTTGGCCTCCAAAAAGGATGCAGGGCTGGCGACTTGCATGTGCCGTACCCATGCCGCACTACACTTCAAACTCTTGGTGAAAGTTCTAGAATCCAAGGGGTGCAGGCTTTCCCAGAATTGTCGCGGCTGGCCGGGCGACATACCTTCCGGCGGGAGGGGTGCCAACGATCACGTACAACTCTCTACGTACCAAGCGGCGAAGATGCTGATCTCAGCCCGCATGAACTCATCCAGGCGTGACTCCTTAGCAGCGAACTGCGCTTCCTAGGTGGGAGCCTCATCGAGAAGAAAAACTTGTGTAGGACAGAGTGTTGAAAAAGCCTGCATTGCTTGCTTGCTTGTCCGTTCAAGCATCCCACGCCAGAACAATGCGTGCAACAAGTAGTCCTGAAAAGCTTGGCCGCATAAGAATCGCTCACTGGGGGCTTTTGGGGCTTCGAGCTTTTGAGCTTGAGGCTTCAAATTTGGGGCTTAGGGCTTCCCAAAGCAAGGTTGGCCAAGCGATTGCTAAGTGAGTTTGCGAAGCGCAGGAAGAGTCGGAAAAGTTTGATTGGTGACCTTTTGGTGACCCTGATGCTTTGGAAGCCTAGTTCGGCCCACTTCGGCCCTCCTCGTGCCAGCTGAGCCGCTGAGATGGTGGCATAGTTCGGGCCGGTGGTAGCGATGCCTGGGGATTTCACCTTTAATGGGTGGGGGGGGGAAGGGGGGCTCCCCTTGGTTGAATGGAAACACCGGCTGAACATCCAGAACACAAAGAAAAGATGAAGCGGAGATTCTGGGCAGCTATGAACATATAGCTTCTCTACCGGTGTTCCGCCTCTCTTCTCACATTTACGCAACACTAGAACATGCTACTTTGCTGGATGCCTTACGTTGCTTTACCCGTCCCCAGAAGAAATGTAATTTAGCTTGTTTTGGATGATGCTCCATCTGATAGCCATGCAGTCATCAGCAAAACACAGGAACAGAGCACACCACAGGAAACTGCTATTTGTCTGCACACATGCACAATCAAACATGCACACACGGCGGGCTCAGAGGTCCCGGAGCCCAAAGGCCACATAATATCAAGCTGACATAGTGAAAAGTTTATTCTGTGGCTTTGCGAGATCCCCTGCGCGTTCTTTACCGTTGCCACCAAAACCCAACCCGCAACCTGGAATGCAGAAGGACGCCTGGACGGAACATTTGATCAATCAACTCTGGTCGCCTCGGTCACCTCGGCCACCCTGTCTCCTTAAACCGGAAGAACTGTTGTAACGCCAACGAGCTGCCAACTGCGCCTCTGGCGATGCTAGACCGAGCAAGCCTCAGAAAGGGGCCTTCCAACAACAATGAAGCTTCGGAAGAAGGGTCTCTTGCTTCAAGATGGTGGTTTGCATTGGGTTTCTCTCTTTCGGCCCAGACGGGAGCCCTCGAAATTTTGCTCCGGCTTCGACCAGGAAAGACCGTTAAGACCGCCGGCGAATCACGATTCCAACTTGCTACGATTCGGGTCCATCAAAATCAACTTCCAAAATACCCTCAAACCCTCTCTCCAAGCCCCGAGTGAAAGATCAGGCTTGAGACTGCAGTCTGGTCGCACTGCTCGTCGCGCCAGCAAGCTTGCCATTATGCAGCGCAACACCGGCCGAGGCGTAGAAGTCGTAGCAATGGCGTTGGTGGTGCTGGTGGCATTGGGGGCGTTTGGTGTTGGTGGTGTTGGTGGCGTTGGTGGCGTTGATGATAGGTGGTACTCGGGGTAGGAGTGGCGGCGGTGGTGACCATGGTGATGCTGTCGTGTGGTTGTGAAACTGCTACAGTAGTGGCAGTGGCTGTAGCGATAGCGGTGGTGGTGATGGCAGTGCACGTGATCAAGCCATAGCTATGACTTGCGAATAGCGCGCTCGCTTACATGTTTTGATGTTACATTGTGTTTGACCCGAGGCTGTTTCGAGCCTGAGATGGCCCCAAAGCATCCTGACCAAGAAGGGACGTGTTGTGCAAGCTAATCCTTAAAGCGAGGTCAGCCAGAAATACTTCCCCTGCAACCCTTTCAGAGTTGTCAGCAAAGTCTCAGGCTCATCGCTCGCCCTTGCTCATTGATCCCTGTCTCCACTCCTGGAAACTGCCCGAAACTTTCCGGAGCAGCGTACAAAACTACCAGCTGGCGCACTTCCAAAGCCCATGCTTGCCTGGAGCAAGCTCTTGGTAACCTCCTTGTGCCCGCCCACGGCGGCCCAAAGCAAGGGTGTGAAACCCTGCTCCTCCGGGAACCGGCAATGAGTCTCGGATTGAAAAAGGCTTTGAAAGGCTTTGAAGGGCTCACTGCGTTGATAACTTAGGATTACGGGTTTGACAGCTCAGGCGGGGAGATTTCGCAGTGGAGCGTGAAAGTCAACCCCGTATGGAAGATCAGAAGGCCGAACTGGCCCGCAAAAGGGATAGGATTCTCAAATATCTTAAGATGTCTTACGACTTTGGGGCTGTTGGACATTTTCAAGAACTCCGATCCCTTCAAAATTCCGTTCGAAACCCGACCTGCCTTCGTCCTCTGCAAGATGCTGGCGCCACCTCGGCATCGCTTATAAGTGGCATGTCATGCTGCGGGATCTTTTGGGTTCAGCAGCTCGGGCCGTCGCAACCCTACGCACGCTAGACCTGCGAGCTTTGCAAGTGACGTTTTGGCGACACTTCAGCTGCTCCAATTCATCTCGATGTACATGCGCCCCTCGGGCGAAAGGATCATTGAGGTCGAAGGTTTCACCGCCCCTCACCGCACCCTGACCGGGACGGGCGCGCATAAACTCTGCAGGTGACATTTTGGCGACAGGCATCTCGATGCAATGTGAAGTGCCAATGCGCCTCACCTACACATGCCGCGTGCCCACATTCTGTCGCATCTCTCTGGACAGCTACAAAAGCCGCACGTGCAGCTTGCAGTCAACCTCTGGAAACGCGACCTTGCAACACACGCCAACAGGAGCTATCCGCAAATCATCAATCCCGGCTGGCGGCCCTTTACGAAACAATGTTGCCAAATCAAACTCCTCACACGCACAAGAACACGCACCGCATGTCCCAGGTCAACAACTGCCCACGCATGTGAGACCGTGAGATGAACGAAAACACGCCGGGCAAAACAGACACTCGCGGCCTGCAAAGAAGCACACGCCTGGACCGAAACCCTGTCGAGCTCAGGCACGCACACTGCTCGTAAAGATGTCTACATGGCCTGCTCTCGACTTTGATGTGCTGAATTTCACGGGAACAGAAGCTGAAACTGAAAATATGCAAGTTGAAAAACCTCAGGGTCGAGTGTAGGGTCGAAAACCGGAAGATGGGCAGCAGCTGTGCCAGGAACCCTGAAGCTGCCTGCACTCTGCAGACTGTAGCCGTACTCTTCGAGGCAAAGGGGCCAGAACCGAACAGAACGAAATATCCAAACCATCAGCTGCAAGGGGGGGGGGGGGGGGGGGGCGGTATCAAAGCCCCTCAATCTCTCAAACTTCTCAAACCCCTGCAGCATGTCCAAGGCTGCAGCGGGCCATCAGCATCTCCATGGCCTGGCTTCAGGGAGGACTTCCGTCCCTTCGTCCTCTCGTAGCCTTGAATGTCCCATCATGCTCCCGAGGCCTGCTGGAGAGCAACATGTGACTGCAGCCACCAAGTTCGTTCTTCTGCTTTGGTCGAAACTTCGGTTCGCTGGCCTTCTGCTGGAGCGGATGCTGCGTGGGTCAGGCATGGTCAGACTACATGCTGAGTTGCTGGTGCACCATGACGGATTCTTGCTGCCTCTGGCTCAGGGACCTATGCCGCGTTAGACTTCCTCGGCATGATCCTTGCCTCGTTGCTGGGCTTGTTTTCTGGCTCCCTGGGCAACTGCTGTGGCCAATGCTTTGGCCAACACGGGCTCTTCCACTAGGTCCCTCAGCCACGTCCAGCTCTAGCCCCGCGCTTTGTTTGCGCAAGGCTTTCCTCCAGGCCGACTTTACGTCTTTACGTGGTTGCTGAGCAGCTGCTCTGCAAGGGAAGCCCGGACAATTCCTCGGGATGTTGGGTTGCAACGGTGTGCTGCAGACCACCTGGTCCATACCAGCACCTGGCCCGCTCAAAAGCATAATGAGTCTGCCTTGCGGCGCACACGTTTGGACCTCTGCAAAACCTGCAGTCCTCAAAACAGCATACCTGAAAACGTCGCGACGCGTGTGCTGCTGACGCCCCAATAATGGTGTAGTGTCCTTCCTTTGCGGCGTCCTTCGATGTCCTGCCTTCTCAATCAGATTCCTTGGTTCGTCGGGGACTTCCTGCGCAAGGCATCTGCCTTTTCCATCCCAAAAGAAAAGACCGAAGCCTTAACCGCCCCTGACCCCACGTGGCAGGTTCCACCTGCACATGGTTGGACTTGGCACAAAGCACCTCCGGAGATTCTCGAGGCTACGTGAAAAGAAAGCAAGGTAAAGGGACGAAGGGTCCAAGTTCCTTGAGGTTCTTTGAGGCTTTACAGGCTTGCAAACATACATACGTACATACATACATACGTACATACATACATACATGCATGCATGCATGCATGCATACATGCATACATGCATACATGCATACATGCATACATGCATACATGCATACATACATAAGCCGTTTAGGCCTGGCGATGCTGCGGAGTGTGTTGTTTGGGTTCGGGGTGTGGAACACAAGTGACCTGCCTCGAAAAAGCAGACCCTGTTGTTGTGTCTTGCCGCTAAACGACTCAGACCCAAACCCCAGTCCCTTGAATAGCCACCAGGAAAGTCCCAAGTCTAAAAGCAAGCGGTGCCATGCCAGAAGTTTCCCTCTGCTGTGAAATCTCCTTTTGAACCACTGCTCCCGGGCGCCAGGGGAGTGTTGCCCTCCTCGTCCGCCACATCAGGCCTGCTGCAAAGAGCGATGTCAAGGCTCCAAATTCGGGATTTGGGAGCCTCCGAACGCTGGGGACGGTAAGCCCCCTCATCTTCTGAAGATTTTGCTTGTCATGGGCCACCAAGATGGAGGTGCAGTGACCGCCTGTCCCACTTGGAACCCGGAACCCTGCACGGCCGCTCTGCAAACCCCTCACCATCCAAAACGGGCCCGAGGCTGTTTGGCTGCGAAGCAAAAAAACCACTTGGGCAGATTCAGACGAACCTGCCTGGCTTTTTGCTTCAGCAGCCACTCCATCAGCCCGACCTCGCCCTTGTGGGCAGAGAAGTGGAGCAGCCTCGGCAGAAAAATGCGGGGGAGGGGGGCCGGGGGGAGGACCCTCCCAAAACAATGACGTTAAGTTAGCAGTCTCGAGTGGATATGGGGTTGAGAACTGCTTGCGTCTCCTCTGGGGTGAAGGTCCTGGATGGCCTGTCGGCCCTGAAACGAAAGTCCAAGTCCTAAGCCGCTTCAGCCTCAAACCGCAACCAAGGCAGCGCTGAATCGAAGCATGCCCAAGCCCAACTGGCCAAACAAGTCCCAACAAGCCAAAGCCGCAAACCCGCCCCCGAACCCACCAATGACAAGGGAGAGCAACAACATGAGCACGCACGCACACACACACACACACACAGACACACACCCCGTTTCTTCAGGTACAGAGATGCTGCGGGTGCTGAGAGTGGTGCGTGCGCAAAGATCGCGCAACAAAAGCACCCGCGCTTCTTTAAGCAGGCCCCGCTTTGAGCGGCGCACCCCCAGCTCCAGGTCTCCTCTTGGGCCTTGGCTTCGTGGAGGGGCTTAAGCGCTGACGCTGAAGGATCTGTCCACGAGCCTTTCTCGGATTGTTTTGAATCTTAGGACCAGGGGGCTTCAGACAGAGGACGTGTTTGCAATATGATACATCTGAGATCGAGACCTAATGTTAGCAGACATCAAGTGATGTTATGAACGCTGGAAAGGCAGCAGCACAAATAACTTGACGATCGTGGGAAGCCTGCTGATTTTACGGCTTTGGCTCGAGCACAAGTTCTGCTTGCAGGGTTCATATGTTGCTCGGGAAACTGCCCGGCACCGGGATCAAGCATTTAACGTGGGCAGCAGTAGTTACAAGAATAACGCTTGTTGAAGAATGCTGGTGTGGCACCTCAAAATACTGCGAGCAGCTTGCCGCTACTTTGGCTTGGAACAAAGGGCCTCAAAAAGGCGTTGCTTGCTTTTGTCGTCTAACGACAATCATCGAGAACCTGCAAAGGCCCCATCTCGGCAATCTCGCAGAACCAAAGTCCAAGAGAATGGACATGGGAAGCCCGAGAGCCTTCAACCAAGTTACATCAGCAGTAGCCCTTGCGTAAGACAAAACCCATTGAAGCCCTCAACTGCCAAGGCCCGCCCCGAGTCGCAAGCTTCGCAAGCCCTGTGGAACTTTAGAGCTTCAAGATGCTTCCGCGTTTTGCAGACCCAAGCGGCATTAACGCTGAGCCCAGTGGGCATCTGTCCCAGCTTGCGTAACGCAACCTCTTTCAGGGGTTTCACTCGCGCGGGCCGCGTTTCCGCTGTGTTTGATGGGCTGCAATGGAGTTTTATGGAGATACTGTTGAGTTTGCTTCGGTCTTCGGGCTTTGTAGTGCTCCACGTATTTATCATCATATTTCAGAAGCGTCATCTGTTGTGGGGGGCGTGGGGGCTTTGCTGACCAAGTGTGGAAAGTCTGTGTTGAGGTCTGGCATAGTGGAGGTGATCTGGCGGGGGATGGATCTGCGACACTGTCCTTTAATGGCGGGCCAGCGACGTGAAATGCGAAACTTTGGACTAGTAGAACCATCGCGTCCGCTAGACTTCATACGTTTTGAGCAGTAGCTGATGGGACTGGGTGTGATTCAGTGATTCCCTGATCTGGAGCCCCCAAGCTCAAAGCCCCAACCTCTCGAGAAAGCCCTTAAGGGCCTCAGCTTTCTGATGCAGCCCGGACCGCAGAAGCCGGAACAATGAAGTCCTTGGACAAGGCATCAAGCTTTCTCGGAGGTTCTTTGCCTAGCTCCGTGGCACGACGGCGTAGGACGGCGTAGGAGTGGAGGCGCACGAGGCACATCGCGCTCTTGAGGAGCTTTGGGCCAATCGTCAGGGGGAGATGCGAGGACTGCGAAGCTTCCGAAAACTCGGGTGACCCTTTGGGCCTCGAACGACCTGTGAACTTGAAACCTATGACTTATCTTCGCATGCCAAAACAACCCTCATTCCCCCCTTGGACTTGCGCCCTTGAGGCGTTCGAGGGCTTTTGGGCTTCACAAGGTTGAGGCCATGGCAGCGGGGGTACCTTGTTTTGTTCCCGGAAGCCTACACAAAAAAGTTCCCAGAAAGATGCTTAAAAACTGGAAAGCGCGTCCCATCAAGCTATTTGTCTCAGAAGCACCTCCGAGAACCTGCAAGAAGTCTACTTCCGGAAGCTCGCGAGCCCCTCCATAAACCCAAAACCACCCAAAAACAAAATCGACAAGGCACGACATCCCAACAACCTCCTAAAACCCACTGAGGCATCGGCTCCCCTGGGTCGATTGGTGGCACCTCGCTTGGGCTGTTGGGCCTCTTGTCTGTTTTTCTGCTTTGCAGAGTGGCCCTGCGAGACCTGATGGAACACGAAAGCTCGAACCACGACGACGATGAACGTTGGCCCTGCATCCCCCAAAAAACTGAAGCCCAAAGACCGAAAAGACTCTGCAGGCGTTTTGGCTGCAACTCCTGAGTGCAAAGTGTCTCCCAGAACATCCACGTGCTCGTAAAAATACACAACAAGTTGCCCCTGTGCCATGGCAAAGTTCCAGGAAGAAACTGTAAACAAAGACAAAGAGGGAAGGTGATCATTGAGCCCTGAGTGAGCTGGTGTTCCGAGCACGGCTCGCAGCAAACGTCGAGCGATTGGCACTACGTCACTACATCCGCAAACTGAAACGTCCCTCTTGGCCTGGGATGTCGAAACTGCCCCAACGCCAACTCGAAATCCTGGACCTTCAAATTCCAAACTCCAAAACCCCAGCTCGCGCCTTGCTGCAGGGCTGGCGATGATTTTAAGGTTTGGGGCTTGAAACGAGTTGCACTTGTTTGTTGAGGTCTCAAAGTCTAAGGTTTCGGGTTGCACAATTGGGCATGTGCATATGGAGTGCCGGAGAACTGTACAAGTACAAACCGAGAATTTGCGTTGAAGGGTTCAGCTAACTCAGGTAACTCAGCCAACTCAGCCAATTGTGGCCACGCGGCATTCTTGTCCACCTTCGTGGGCAAGCTTGCGCTGATGTCAAAGTCCGCGAACAAATCTGCCTAATGCGCAAACAAACTTGAACTAAACCTGAACTACAGCAGCCTTTATGACTGAGCATCCACTGAGCAAGGGCGCTTAAGGTGAGCTTCAAATCAACCAAGCCGCTTGTGCTCCAACATGGTCGCACCAACTTACTCTGAAGCCCCCACCCCCCCCCCTCCCATGTACAGCTCAAGTGATACGCGCCAGTCTCGATAGTTGGGGCTCAAAAAGCTGTTCGACAAGAGGGCACGATCTGGACTTCCGAGCAGGCTCTGATGTGCCCGTATGTGCCCATTTGTGTGTCCAAGTGTCCGGACTTTGGTTTTGATTTCCTGTAGATGCGATAACAATTCTTCGCACGGCCCAGAATTTGACGAAGGTCAGCCACTAGCACTGCACCAAGGGCCCCAACCATCCCCAAACCCTAGCCGGCCCCAGACCTAAATCCCAATTGCCAACAGATGGGCCCTGCACAGCCCGGCACAAAACCCGACACTGAAAACCTCACAAAGCCTGACGATGGGACAAGAGAAACTTTGGCTTGAAAGCCGTTGAAGGCCATGCAGACGTTGAGCCGAGCCGCCATCTTGCCTTGCGGAGCACAAACCGATCCAGCGTTTCAGCATCCATCGACAAGGGGTTCAAATCATGCGCTGGCTGCTGGGGGATTTAGCAGAGCCTTACAAAGAGGCCTGATAGAGTTCGTGTCTCGCCCAGTCCGATGCAGTCCTTCAGGTTGCTTGGGGGACCCATTGTGACTCCATCACCCTCCGTATGGCCAAGCTAAGCGGCCAGTGAATCACTGGGACCCGAACTTTGAGCTTTGAAATAGATTCCATGATTTCAAAACCCAAAACATTTGAACACTCTCCCGCGAACTGTTAACACCCCAGCTCTAAACCCACAGGTCCTCAATCTCGTAAAGCTCCAAAAAAAGAGAACTCTCCGTATTACAGAACATTACATGACTCAAAAGAACCAGATCCGGGGGACCCCGACCGGCTCGCAGCTCAGCAGTCGCCCGGGTGCCCCATCGAAAGCCCGGGTTGGCCCCTTCGGGGCTCCGGGCTTTTGAAGGTTTTTGCGAGGAGAAGTAGATGGGGGGGGGTAAGGTAATTTTATAGTACTTGTACGGTATTTGGGGAATTGTTAGGCGAGATTTCAGGATCCAATTTCTGGGTCTTGGGGGGAAAAAAACAGAGGGGCTTCGGGCTTGGGGCTCGAGCCGGACGCAGAGAACATCCAAGGTCTTGAATCCAAGGCTTTCCGAAGCTGAAGCCTCTTACTTACCTCATCTTACCTCGGGAACTTGACCCTTACGCTCCCCAGGTTGCGCAGCTCTTGGGGCGCAAGGGGGAAGCTTGCCCTCTAAGGCTACCGATGAATGCCGGGCCAACTCTAAACTTTCAAGGGGCTGATTCAGAGGACCCTCTACTTGGGTCCCCTAAACCCACTTTTGCCCACTTTATGTGCAAGGCGCAGTGACTGAGAGGTGGTTTTAAGCCATGCGCAATCGTTTTCGGCCTTTGGGTGGCGTCGGCAGATCGGACAAAATGACGTAAAAAGCCTTATAAAATCAACACATGAGCCCTTGTTGCTGAGCTACAAACAAAACAAAACGCATCATGACTCGGAATCCTTGTCTGGGTGCATGAGTGCATTCTTCAACACAGCTTCTCAAACAATGGACCCCAGAGCATTCTGAACCTTCACAAGCATAAAAATGAAAATGAACAAATATACAAATATACAAATATACATATATATGTATATATGTATATGTATAGATGTATATGTATATAGGAATATGTATATATACATATATAATTATGTGTACATACATACATACATACATACATACATACATACATACATACGTACGTACATACATACATACATACATACATACATACAGACATGCATGCATGCATACATACATACATACATATGCGCCCTCAAGTCCGGGCTTTCTTGGGCTACCGGGCAATTCCCGCGCCCAACACAAGATGTCGGCATCAGCTTCTTGTTGCTTGGTGTTCTCCGCTCTCCATGGCACGAGTCGAGAGGCTTCGCTGGAGACTTTGGTACGGAAAGGGCTTTCGCTCTTCCGTACATCTGAGATGAGCGACGGCGTCGAAGGACTTGGCTTTTGCGTGGGAGGGACCCGCTTGAGACAGGCATGGGTCAACCTCAAGTTGAGCTCAATCTTCCAGCCTGCCTAGGGCTTACGGCTTACGCGGCTCACACGGCTCATACAGCTCAAGGTGTCCAGACCTTGCTGAAGGGCCCCTCCCAAAAAAGCCTGAAACTGGTGCCGTTCAGGCCCGGCATGCGAATCCCGCTATAATGAGTTTGCTTACCACTGAGCAATCGGGGGAGGGGGGGGTAGGATGGCTATGGACCAACCCATGTACGCGAACAGCCCGAACCAAAGACAGCCGCGCTTTCCTTCAAAGCCTCGACGTTTCCAGAATACTCTACATGCCAAATCCTGGTCATTGCTCTGGTGAATGGTCCTCAGGCTTGAGGACCAGGGCTTTTTGGCTGAGGGCAAGGCCTCAGGGTCTCGAGGCTCGGAATTGAGATGATGCATAAATGCCAACACCGTGGCTGTCTATTCTTCGATCTGTGCTCGAAGACCTACCACGCACCCCTTGTCTAGCGCCTTCCACGAGGGTGCACGGGTGCAGGGTGTCCGAGAGCCCTGGGTCCTGGCCCCTGAAAGAAAACCTCAAGACCGAAGTACCAGTCGGCAGATTCTTTCTTGTGGCACTTGCAAACCAAAAGCCTTTGATCGAGCCATGAGGCTGCCGTTCCAACTAACCCTGACAGACTCAACAAACCTCTAGATTGTAGAAAAAGGAGAAATGGGGCTTACGAAAACTGAGCAGGGTCTTCCATCTGAGGCACCTAGACAGACACATGAAAACCTGAAGCCGAAAACCCAACCCCCCAAACCAGAAAGGTTGCCTCTGGGGCCGTAGATGGACAAAAGCTCTCATGCTTGCCGGGCCGGGCCATCCGTCACTGGGCTGCTGTGGGCTGAGAGAGCACTGCTCGGGGCTTGCAGCAAAACGAGCCTTTGCAGGGTCACCGCCACGTGGGACATATGGGAATATTATGGGAAGAGGACTCCCCAAGCCCCGAGCACAGCAGAAGGAAAGGCAATTTCTCCAAAGGCCCGCCTCCAGGAAGGGTGTTCCCAAAACGAAGCTTTTTGGTACGAGCTACCCAACCCTGGATCGACATGGCGCATCCCGATCCCTACCCAGCTGCCCTCATCATATGCTTCAACCAAAACGCCCACAGACTTAAACCTTGCAGAACCCATTCCAAACCCTCCTAGATCCTTTCAAGGGCCGGCAATCGCTGGGAAATTTCTTTGACATTGGGCTTCGTGGGGGGGCCCACTTCGGGCTTCGGCTGCTCACACACGGCGCCCCTAAATGTCGCAGAACCGTCTGTTGCCTAGAGAGATTTTGGGAGAATATTGGGTCCATTGATTGGGTCCATAAGGTCCAGGGCTACAAGCCGGCCCTGGTAGCATAGACGCGGCATAAACTCTGCACATCTCTGCACACTCCAATGGGAACGCCGAAAGCCCTAGGACGAAGACGACTGCCGAACACTACCGCTTACGGGCCTGGAGTTTGCAGGACCTTGTTGCCTCCACTTTGAGAGATCGACCCGTTAAAAGTTGGTGCGCAGCACCGGGCTCCATAGCGCATGGAGATCATTCTGCGGTACCACTGAGGCTCTCTACAGCAATCCGTGAAAGCCCTGAATCCGCAACCTAAGCCTGAACACACGTCCTAGGAACAGACGCTGGCCGTACCCCTACTTGGGTTTGGAGGGCTCTGGACCCACCCCCCCCCCCCCCCAAAAAAAATGAAAATAAATAAATAAAAACAAATAAACCTGAATCTTGAATACGTGAACAACCCAAAAGTTCAGTCGAACGGCACGGTCGAAAGTCTGCAAAGCACCGGAAACCCAAAAACGTCCACAAAGATGCCCGAACCTGCCTAAACCCTGAAGTCTTTACAGTACAGATCCAGGCAGAAGCACCAAACAAGGCGCTACTCTCATGAGGCCTCGCGCGGTCTGTGCACCCTGCAATGCCTACTACTGCAGCCCCTGCCAGCTGAGGCCAAAGCTCTCCATGTTTGACTTGTTAAGAGTTTGATGGAGTTGAAGCGGGTTCGGAGAGGTTGCATTTCCTTCGACATTCCAGGTCCGACACGTGAGAACCCTAAAGTAGCCTTAAACACCGGAGCCCTCATGCGGACTTGCAGTAGCTCAATGCCTGAAATCTACAACTGAACTTTTTGTTCTCTCTCCTCTTGTTCTCTCCCCTGGACTCTATGCCGTATAAACCAACAGTCACATGACTGCGCAAGCCCTGTGTGAAAAGCCTACTGGTACAGGCTGGCCCTGTGCGTGGCCTCGCTGGCAATTGGCTCTGTACAGTGGATTCACCGGATCTCCGACGGCAGCTGGTGTTGAGGGCC